CCCCAAAACCCCAAAACCCCAAAACCCCAAAACCCCTTTAGTAATTTTAGGTATTGAAATTTAGAAAAACTGGCTAGATTATTCAGCAAATTCTTGCACAGTAGCTCTTTCAAGGTCATCATCTTGTTCATCTATATCATCCCTGTAATTTTCTTGTCTGCTTTTAAGCATATTAGTGAGATTTTGAAGGTCGAGCAAATTCTGGTTTTTCTTAACCCTAAGCTCATTAATATCAAAGGGTATATTTTGGTCTTCATTCTCTTCATCATTGACCATAAGCTCTGAGGGACGAGATACTTTAGTCAAGCGAGCTGCTGTTTGCTTCCTAGTGTTATTCTTATTCTTCTCTCTAAGCTCTCTAGCCATTCGGATTGCTCTTTGGAGGGGAGCTTCATCCTCTTCATCATCATCTGGGACTTTGGTCTCTTCAATTGGGGAAACATCTGTGTGTCTACCTTTGGTGCTTTCCTTTGCACGGTGCATGGCCATGATCTGTTGCTCTTTGAGTTCAGTATCTTGAATGTCAAATTCACAGAGAAGAGGCTTATCAACTCGGATGTTTAGCTTGAGCTGGCCTTGAGCAACCCGTTTGGTCTCTTCAAAGTCGTCTAGTTGCTTGTCCTCCTCTGTCTTGAATACGTGATAGTACCCTGTGAGGGATATCTCAGAGGATTTTACCAAATGGGAAGCATCCACGTAGGTCTTGCCGATTTGTATGCTCTCTTGGTGATTGGAAAGAGTCTCATTTGGAAGCTTTTTGTGGTAAATTTCGAATTCCAGTCAGTTATTTAACAAGTAATCTCAGATTTCGTTGATAGAGATTCCTTGAATTTCATGTGTGTAATCCCATTGAGGGAAAGTCGTTCTATAGATGACTGGTGTCCTGAGCTCTACTTCGTTCCCTCCAAAAGGATTTTTGAAGAGAACATAAGTGTTCGGAGGAGAATTCTCATTAGAAGGGTTTTTGATGTTATTTCCATTTGAAATTGAAATCTTTAAGCTACATTTTCGTTCCTCAGGGAGTTCAGGAAGCTCTTCTTGAGCAGGAGGTTGATCTATTTTTTTATCTTCTTCTCCAAGCTTCAATAAATCCCAATGGATCAAGTAGCCGTACAGTTTTCTGACCAAAAGGAGATAATCAGTTTGGAGTTTCATAGTGTGGGAGGAGAGGTTATAATCAAGCTGGCTAGGCTTGAGGTTTTCGATAAAGTCATCTACTATCTTCTCTTTCAAGTTGACTTCACATTCGAGAATGCTCTTGAACATGTTATTATCAACAAATCCGTTTTCGTAGTTATCTACGGAGCTCAGTCTCTTGTAAATGAATTCGATGATTTGCTCTTTATCGATTCTTCTTGCATACTTGAAGAAAGGAGGCAGAACGTTTAGGTATGGAGAGTAGTAGATTCAGTCAGGGGATTGTAAAGTTGTTGGGTTAACCTATATTGTTAAACATTAGGATTTGAATAGCTTACTTCTAATTCTCAGCATTCAAGGTACTTGTAGACCAAGTCAATATCTTTTGGATCTTCGAAGAAGGTATTGACAATCTTTTTCATATCGCTTATTTCGATTATTCCTTTCAAGTTGAGATCGTAGTGGTCAAGGATTGATTTACGAGCATGGTTGTGGAGGATGTAGAACATTTTCTCAATTCTTTCTTTTTGGCCTTCATCTTCCTTTTTGATCAGCATGGTTGAGAGGCCAACTCTGTCCATCATAATGGTGTTTGATTGAGTGTTGAGCACTGTGTAGTATCCATCATGAGTATTTACAATTTGTTTAGACTCATTTCTGAGTCTGAAGTTATGGATGCCTTTAATTAGAGTTTGAACATCCACGAAAATTGAGCCTACAAGATCCTCTTTATCTTTATAGCACTGGGTCTTGTTCTCAACTTTAGTCCAGATTTGAATTTCTATAGGGGTTGCAGACTCCTCAAAGGTCTCCTCGTTGATATCTATTTCTAGAAGATAAAGCTTGTTAATGAAGTAGACTGTAATATCTAATGGCAATTCTTCAATCTTTTCGTCAGGCACATATCTCACTTGGTGATGGTCACCTTTCCACTTGAATTTGAAGATGAGATTTTTAACATCTTTGCTCATGTACTCTGGCCGGAGATATCTGTTGTGTTGGGAAATCAGCTCGACGAATGAGAAACCAAGGAAATATTTTCCTCTGTAAAGAGCTTCTGAAGGCTCCTTCATTAATTGCATGTGTTTTCTACTTTGGTAATTTAAGCTCATTTTGATCTTTAAGTATCCAAGTTTTTGGTTGAACTGGTCAAGAACAGCAACATCTTGATCAATTCCATTTGATTTTGTGATGAGATTAGCCAAAGGTACTTTTGCCCATCCAAGCGTGATGTAATCCCTCTCATCAGTTCTAAATTCTGAGTTTGGGTCGTTTGACTGATTTTTCCTTCTTCCTAAATCAAGTAGATCACTATCTTCATTGACAAAGTAGTGTCTAACTTCGAAAACAGCAAATCGATATTTAAGGTGTTCAAATATAGCTGTGTTCATCCAGATTCGGTGCTCATTTTGGTACTCGAAGTTGGGATGTAGAGTCTGGAAGATAACTCTTGACTCTTTAGTGCCAAATCTATCTCTTAACTCAGGAGTCTCTTCAAAAATTGACTCTACAATTCCAATATTTAGGCCTTCCTTGTACATTCTGAGTAAAGCTCTTTTTCTGTCAATATTTTCAACTCTTTTGTTTGTGTCAACATGCTGGGCACTGAGGAGAGTTCGATCTCACATACTTTCTCGTGAATCAGGATGGTTGTAGAGAGATATTAGGTATTCAATATTCTCTAGTGAATCCTTCAAGTCACTGAGAGACCCTATGTTTACACTCAAATAGCCCTTCAGTGGGATTTTTCTGTTGATATATACCTCTTTTTGGAGATAGAGATCATTGCTGATGCTCACTCCTGGTCCTCTATTTGAGCTCACCTTTACTATTTCTCTTTTATAGATAAAATCAATATATAGTTTCCCAATGATTCCTTCATCTCTTTGAGAAAATCTTGTTCCCCTTAGAAACAAAATTCTGGGTACTTTTACAGACTTGTTCTCTGTATCAGGCTGCTTTTCATAATCTTCCACCAAGTCCATGAGGTCTTCAATTGGTAACTGAAGGGTCCCGATGTTGACATCTTGGTTATCTTTTAGGCAAGACAGATTGATGGTGAAGCTTTCTCCTCATTTCTTTAGGCTGTCATTTACTGACTTTGTTGTCTCCAACAAATAAGTATGATAACTATGCATTGATACTGCATAATCGTAAGAATCCTCTTTTCTTGGACTGAACTCGATGTAATCACTCACAATCTGTTCATCATCCAGAGGGAAGATGTATTTAATGAAGACATCCTGAATGTATTTGCTCTCTTCTGGTTCCTCACTCTCTTTACTTCCTCTACTCAAATCCTTGATAATCTTCTTCAAAATTGGAATGTTCGAGATTTCTTTGATTTTAATTTCGAAAATATGTTTTACTTTGACAGTCTCTTCTCCTGAGTCAGGGAGCCGGTCATCAGACTCTTCAGTATAGTCCTTTCTTCCGACCATAAAGTCAGCTGTATCTTTATGCTCTTCTTTGGGGTTCTCAAGACTCCTTCGAGGGTCAATATCTTTGTTCTTCTTAGTTTTGTCTCTTTTGTCATCTTTCGTTTTGGGAGGCTTACTTCCATCAGGCTTTGTATGCTTCTTTTTAGCAGGAGATTCGTTCAGAATGTCGAAGACATCTTGGTCGTCATCGTCTTCGTCAGGGTCTTCATAATCGTAAGTGTCTTCTTTTCGATCAAAAATACCGCTCTCGTCATAATGAGGCTTGATAGGGTCGATTTTTGATTCTTCTTTGGGGTTTATTGTGTCGTCAAAGTTTTCGAGGCTTTTCCTTGGATTAGCATCTTCAGCCTTCTTTCTTCTAGCTTCAATGATCTTTCTCTTTTCTAGAGTAGCACTTTCATATTTCTCCCAGATTTCTGGGTATCCGACTTCGTGAAGGATTTTTGGGACGTCTCAAAAATGGTACCGCTGAGGCTCTTTGGAAGGCTCCTTGTTGATGTAATGGAAAAATCAAAAGATCTCCCAGATTGTTATGGGAATGTCATTCTCCGCACAAGAGTTTTGGTAGTCTAAAGCTCTGATTGGGTCATATAGGTAATCATCTCTCTGGCCTGCTTCTAAAACGCTATCTGCAATTCCGTGATTGAAGTCCTTTTTGTGATCTAAAACTACCTTTTCTGTAAGGATTTCCTGCTTCATGGCACTAAGGCAAATATGCTCCTTACCAACAAAAGGTGGAGTTTTTAAAAACTTCAAGAATTCTTCCATGTTAATAGATTGGTCTGGATCTCCATGCCCTTGGAAAAGGTCAATTATCAAATTAAACCCTTCTCTCATCTCTTTGTCTTTACACCATTTAGCAGCAAGGTTTTTCTTTTCTATTTCTTCATCTTCTTGACGACGAGGCTTTCTTTTATTTTGATCGTCATGGATATCGAAGAAGACTTGGAGTTTTTCAAATATGGATTTAACTCTTCCCTCAGCATGTGTACAGTATCTACAATAGGCATTATAACTTTCTTGGAGTTGCTTAATATCATATCCATTTCCATAATTCCAAATTTGCAGAATATTGTTCACAGATTTTCTGTTTAGAGTGGTATTATCAAGCAGATCATTTTCAAAGCTGTTCTTGTCCTTAGAATCAGCAAAGACCTTCATCTTGATATCTTTCGTACCTTCGAGCCTACATTCTTCAAACAGTTTATGAAGCGAATCCAGATGGTTATCTTCCCATTTGCCTCTTTCTCTCTTGGATGAACTACTTGTGGATTTATCTTTAATAGTATCAATAAGCTCTCTAAGTAGGTCTTCCATTTGTTTGTCTCTAACAGAGTCAGAGTCTTCATCTAGATCCTTCTTTTTCTTCCTGCGATCCATTCTTCTTCTTTCTTCCTCTTCTTCTTCCCTGGCTTTGTCTCTTTCTTGCTGGATCCGATCGAAGAAGTTTATTTGTTCTGGGCTTCCGAGGGCCATTGTTATTTGAAGCCATCCAACACATTTGCCGTTGAAGTCCATGATGTCAGCTCTATCGTCGAAGCCAACCATTGGGTATTGGTTAGCAGCTTCGTCAAAATGGGATGTGTTCAGATACCCATTGTCTTCTGAGACTAGGGATTTAAAGAATGAGCTTAGCGATAGCTTTGTAAAACCTATTATAGGAGTATCATCTGTAGTCACTTGGTCTCTTACTTCGAATAAGAAATTGAATTTGGCCAACTTTTCAATGATGTCTGGCCGAACAAGGACCGGGAAGTAAGCCTTATGATTGTAGATTGGATTATTTGACTGGAGTTCGGTTGTTGTTCTCTGAAGTCTGCCTTTAGGAAAATCTTTGTATTGTACAAAAGAGTTCCTGAAAACATTCATTTGGGATAACCTTTGCTCTGTATCTTGGAGTAAAGTAATATCTCTTGGGTTCATGAAATACCCTCCATAAATACGAAGATATAGCTGAAGAACTAAAGGCTCCTCAGATTTTTCAAAGGGATCAATAGTTCTTGTTTTATTAATCTGGTATTTTGTAAAATTATGGTCAGCATCATTATTAATCTTATCTCTAATCTCATCAAGTTTCTTCTTTTTCTCAAGTTCTCGAAGCCTGGCGAGGTAAGCTTCATCGATGGCATGTTGCTTGCCATCTTTGCGCTCTTCCTTTCCCTCTTCATCTTCATCAGTAAGGTATTCATAAAAGTCGTCGCTATCTCCTTCTAGATGATTGCCTCCATTTTCAGTAAAATTCCTTGAATCATTTACATCCGGATTAGTGAGGAAGTTAGGGTTAGGATATTTCTTCGGAGGTGAGTGATGCGGATGGATGCTCTCCCAAGCCTTATCAGGCTGTAAGGTGTCATCCATCATCTTCTTTAATCTTTCTCCGCGCATTTTGATTGAATCAAAAGTAGACATTCCGATTTCAAATTTAAATTTTATATTTTAATTATGTTTCGATTTAAAATTATTATTAAGGGGTTTTGGGGTTTTGGGGTTTTGGGGTTTTGGGGTTTTGGGG